TTGGCTCAGTCTCAGGGCTTATGGAGTGGATGGGAGGACTTTCAGTGGTTATGGAAGATACAGGGGCTTGGGCATCCAAGCCAGCCTGGCCAGGACTCTACTATGGCCCTTGCTCAATATTAAGCTTCCAAGTCCCAGGTAGGAGTGGCCTGTTGGCCAAACCACAGTCTGGTCCTTTCCGATTCTGCAGTAGGACACAGGACACTGCCTACGTGGGATGCTACACAGGAGCTGCCTCCCAGTTAAGAAGAGCTTTGGATGCTGGACAGCCACCCCCACCCCATCGCAGATATTCACTACACCTTACCTCTTCTCCCTGTGAACTCCTACTCATACATCAAAACCTACTTTCTCCAGTTCTGCTGTTATGCGGTTTTCCCGTATTCATCACTTGTTTCTCAGGGTTCCCACGGCGTCTTGCTTCCCTCTACCCCCACCCAATCATACTGTGGCCAAGCCTGCTCCCTATGTCACACTCTGCTCCCTCAAAGCAGAGGCTGACCTGGCATTTACTCAACACTTACCCTCTGCCACATACTGTTCCACGCACTGTGCACGGGTTATTGCAGTGAATTTTCACAACAGCCCTCAGAAGTGGGTTCTGTTGCCTTTTCCATTTTTTTAATCAGTTTTTTTTTAAGATTTTTTTTTAAATTTATTTATTTGACAGAGAGATAGCACAAGTAGGCAGAGCGGCAGGCAGAGGGAAAGGGAGAAGCAGGCTCTCTGCCGAACAGGGAGCCTGATGTGGGGCTCGATCCCAGGACCCTGGGATCATGACCTGAGCCGAAGGCAGCCGCTTAACCGACTGAGCCACCCAGGCGCCCCTGCCTTTTCCATTTTACAGAGGATGAAACCAAGGCACAGAGATGCTAGGCAATTTGTTCAAGATCACAAGGGTGGTGAAGGGCAGGCCTGGGATCCAACCCAGGTAGCCTGGCTCTAAGCGCTGGTGAGGGAGGGAGCGTCCGGCCGTCGTTCCGCGTGGGGTCTTCCCCTCTCAGGTGTTTGAAGACCTCCCTTCCCCCCAGAGCGGGTTAATGGAGCCAAGTAAATATAATGCCAATGTCTAAATGAAGAGCTCCGTGTCATTCAAGTGTTGAAGTTGTAAGAATAAAGAAAGCACACAGGTCTCAGAACATTGGCTAAAGCTATTTTCAGAACTAAGAGGGAGAAAGAGCTAGAAAGAGTGGGAAGAGTCTGCACCCTGGGTCGAAGGGACCTGGATGGCTGTGCCTCCCAGCAGCATGGCTGGGAGCAGCCCCTCGCCTCTCTGCGGGACAATGCGATCACCTGCCCGCCCTCGCCCCCCGCTCCGCAGCTCTGCCCAGGACCGTGCTCAGGGCTCGAGAGGGCGTGACACGGGCCAGTGCTGTCCCGGGCTTCCCCAGCTGGACTGAGCTCCGAGACCCCCCGGGGGGACTGTGGCGAGAACACACCCCGTCTTGGCTCCCTCCGGCCTGGGTCTCACTTCCCTGTGGATATTGCCCAGGATTCCTTGCTCCCACACCCTTCTCTCTGCGTCCACTACTGAGTGAACCTAAGGAGATGGTGTCTCTGTAAAGTACAGTGGGGGATGCAGAAGCTAACAGAGGTAGGGGTTTTAGTCCATAGAAGTGCTCAGTGAATGACCCCCGAAGTCCTTAGGGGATTCTCCCTACACCCCCCCTCCGCCCCTGCATGGGGCCACCCTGCCCCCAGAAGCTCTCCTGGCTCCCCACAGAGCCAGGGGTCTACTTCTCCAGGTTCTCACAGCTTTTGGCTTTTCTGTAACATCACTCCTCCCTTCACCCACCCACCTCGGTCCCTCCACTTTAGCTGTATGGCCTCTGGCAAGTGGCTGCACCTCTCTGATTCTCCACATTCTGAGCCCCATGTGCTGGGACCTGTTGCTTTCTCTGGAAAAGTCAGCATGGTTTACTGGGCAACTGAATTGTAGGTCTCATGTCATTTGCCAGCACTCCTGGCTAAGGGTCCCAGGGGAGTATCTTTGCGGTTGTCAGTGTTCATCTCCACTGGGGCCACGGCATGAGGAGGCTGGGGGAAGAGGTCGACAGGGTGGGAATCACAAAGGTTCTGGAAGGCTTCACCTCCCCATGCGTGGAGCACACTGTTGGCGCCTGACCAGAGCTTGCAGACCTCCTTATGGGAACCAGATACCTGACCCCCTCTTCGGGATATGTGCTCTGTACTCTCTGGCTGACCACTCACATCTCAGGCCTGTTTCAGACAATGGCCCGTCGGTCTTCTTCACCCCGTACAGCAAAGTGGAAGTACCTGAGGGTCGATGCCCACATCCTTGGGTCCCCTCAGCCAATGTACTGCAGCAGGAAAGCCCAGCCCGTTGCCTTAAGATAGCGCAAACTGAGAGGTATAATCTGCACGCCAGAGCTGCCTGGGACCAGGGCCTGGCCAGGACCGACATGCACCCTTGCTTGGCTTCTCCTGCTTTCTGCTATTTCCCTTACTCCCTACTGGTTTCTGCTCTGAACGCTTCCTTCATGAAGCCCCTGCAGCTGAATCCTTGTCTTGGACTCTGTTTCTGGGAGAACCTGATATGAGAGAGCTTGCTGGCACTGGGTGCCATGGGTGCACTTTAATAGAGCAAGTTTATCAGTTAGGATCCAGGTTTGGCTGCTTATTAACAACAACAGCAAAACCAAACTGATGGTGGTTTAAACCAGACAGATGATTACTTTTCTCTCCTATATAACAGCTTAAGGAACAGTGATCTGTGCCTCAAGACAGGCGGCTTCATGGTGTCAGGGCCTGGGTTCCTTCCATCTTGTTGCTCTGCGATTCCTATGGTGTTTGATGCCTTCGTCCTTCTGACCCACGATGGTAACTCGGCTCCAAGCCCACGTTCTGGGTGGCAGGATGTGGGAAGAGATGAAGAGGCAGCATATCCCTTCCCTGGAAGGGCATAACCTGGGAGCGGTGCGTCATTGATTCACAGCCCATTGGCCATACTTCAGTCACATGGTCTTCTGTAGTTGCAAGGGTCGCTGGGAAATGTAGTTTTTGTACAGGCAGCCAGGGCCCTACCTAGACCCCCAGGGATCTATGACTGTAGAAGGAGGGGGAGTAGAGATGGGGGAAATCTATCAAGTCCCACCACAAATAGGGGCACAAATAGTGCTTCGAAGCTGGCACAATCTTTATCTTCCAGTGAGGTTGGTCTAGAAGAAAATATGCTGAGGACTGTGTGGATGTGTAAAGGGGGCCCCTGTCAGGGAGGGCCACATGGCAGGGGGGACTGTAGGATGCTGTGAGGGTTTCTGGAGATGTGCGGTCACCAGGGCCTCCTGGGGCCAGGAGTTGGGGAGGAAGGGACAAGAAGTGGCCAGAGGGGAGCTGCCGGTGTTACGGAACCTGGATTGGATGGCCTGACGGAAGAACCAAGCGGCAATCGGAGATCTTGGAGGAATAGGAGCTTTATTTAACGCGGGCGGGCTCAGAGGAGAGTGGTCTCCAAAGGTCTGAGCCCCCAGCACAAACAAAGGGGGTAATTTATACACTTCTACTTCCGCATACTGGGCACTCTTGGCATGTGCATGAAGCGGGGCAGGGAGAGGAACCTGGAAGAGCCCCGGCGCCAGGGCTGGGATTCCCTTGCTGGCTCGGTGGGCCCTCTTAGGACACAGATTTTTCCTCATCACCAGTAGTGAGGAAACCCTCCAGCTTCTCCACTCTTCAGTTACTGCGCGACACACAGGAGCGTGGGAGGGGGTCGCCGATGGAGGGAAAGGGGCCAGGTGTCCACGGGAGTCTCAGCAGACAGGCAGTAGGAATGGTTGCAAGAGACAAAGCCAAACTGATCTGGTGAGAGGCACAGGGCAGCGGAACAAGTAGGCTTTAAGGGAGCCGCCTGCCTCCTGAGGGTTTGTAGAGGAGCTCTGAGAAAACCAAATCTCCCTTACAAGGAGCCAAGGCATTTAAAATAAAAATACGATGGGGCGCCTGGGTGGCTCAGTTGGTTAAGCGACTGCCTTTGGCTCAGGTCATGATCCCGGAGTCCAGGGATCAAGTCCCGCATCGGGCTCCCCGCTCAGCAGGGGGTCTGCCTCTCCCTCTGACCCTCCCCCCTCTCATGTGCTCTCTGTCTCTCTCATTCTGTCTCAAATAAATAAATAAAATCTTTAAAAAAAAAAAATAAAATAAAAATACGATGGGCTGCTCTGTGAGGCTGATCACTGGGTTCTATTCATTTTCCACGGATGTTTGCAAACCTAGAATCGTGTCACGCAGCATTCGGTCCCAGGCTTTCCGACCAATAATCACCATTTTGAGGGCTTCTTAGCATTCCATTATCACGAGAGACATCCCTTGCTGAGAGACAGTCCGCTGTTGTTGGATGTGGCCTCTGACTCCAAGTGTCTGCTCCGGCGACCAACCCGGGCGTGGACATCCTTGAGCCGGCAGCTTGGTTGGCGGTTCAGAGCGTAGATCATTTCCCTGGGCACGATTCCCAGAAGAGAAGTGGGGCAAAGGGAAGCACATTTGCCTGTAAGGGCCACGGAGTATGCAGCCAAATGGCTTCCTGGCCTGGTTCTGCCAAGTTACCCGCACACCTGCAGAGCCTGAGAGCGAGCGTCGCCCCCTGGGGAGGGTGTGCTAGTTTGCTTTAATTTTCCTTTCCCAGATTTTTTAAGTGCTGTGTGTTCATTGTACACATTTTAGAAGCTATTGAACAATTTACAAAGAAAACTCGCCTATAATCCCGTCTGCCAGAACAATCTATGGTTCGCATTTTTTAGAATTTATTTCTTTGAAACATACTTGACACAGAACATTGTGTAAGTTTCAGAGTACAGCTAGCATTTTGATGTATATCTTTCCAGCCCTTTTTTCTATATAAAAATTTTTATGGTACAGAAATTTACACACATAAGCCTTTTATTTTTTAAAAGGTTTTATTTATTTATTTATTTATTTATTATTATTATTTTTTAAAGATTTTATTTATTTATTTGAGACAGAGAGAATGAGAGGGGGGAGGGTCAGAGGGAGAAGCAGACTCCCTGCCGAGCAGGGAGCCCGATGCGGGACTCGATCCCGGGACTCCGGGATCATGACCTGAGCCGAAGGCAGTCGCTTAACCAACTGAGCCACCCAGGCGCCCGGTTTTATTTATTTATTAGAGAGAGAGAGAGTGAGAGAGCACAAGCAGCGGGAGCGGCAGACAGAGGGAGAGGGAGAAGCACGCTCCCCGCCGAGCAGAGAGCCCGACGAGGGGCTCGATCCCAGGACCCTGGAATCAGGACGCAAGCCGAAGGCAGATGCTTCACCGACTGAGCCACCCAGGCGCCCCCACGCACAGCCTTTTATTATGAAAGGTTCAAACATATATAAAATCAGAGCGAGTAATGAGCCACCAGGTACCGAGCACCCAGTTTGAAGAGTGCTTAGTGCATGCCGGTCTTGTCTCTACCGTCGCCCACTTTACCTCTTTACCTCCCAGATTATTGGGGCATTTATCCCATTCATCCCAAACGTCATATAATTTCATCCACAAATATTCCAGAGTATCCTTATGAAAGATTAGTCCTCAAAAAATAGTAATAATATCATTATTTAATACCTCGCGTGCAACAATCATTCCTTAATATCAGCACATATCCAGTCTCTCTTCAAACTCAGAATTGTCTCAGAAATGTCAAAATGCAACAAAACCTGGTTTGACTCAAGATCTCAATGAGGTCCCCACGGCACACTGGCTGATGGATCTCCCAAGTATGTTTCATCTCGACGTTGCCCTGTCGTGTATTTTTCCTTGTAATTTATTTGTTGAAAAACCTGGGTTGAAAGGCCTGTAGTGTTTCCCATGGTTTGTGTACTTCCTGCAGATTGGGAGCTGGGGCTAGAGACTCGATCGGATTCAGGTTGGATTTCTTTTTTTTTTTGGCAAGAACTCTTGGTAGAGAGCTCTGTGTTCCTCTCTCGGGAGGCACGGTGTCTGTCCTGCTGGCTCTGTGGTGTGACCAGCTGTTGATGGTCAGTGACTGATGGCTAATTTATTAGTGGTTGCAAACTGGTGATATCTCATTCTGTTATCGCTACTTCATTTATTTCTGTGCTCCTCTGGACAGAAACTTAGCTTCCTCTACTATTTGGCTACCTGCTGATGCTTTTTTTTTTTTAAAGATTTATTTATTTATTTTATTTATTTATTTTTTAATTTATTTGAGACAGAGAGAATGAGAGAGAGAGAGCATGAGAGGGAGGAGGGTCAGAGGGAGACGCAGACTCCCCGCCAAGCAGGGAGCCCGATGCGGGACTCGATCCCGGGACTCCAGGATCATTACCTGAGCCGAAGGCAGTCGCTTAACCAACTGAGCCACCCAGGCGCCCCCCTGCTGATGCTTGTGTAATCCCAGTAATGGTTTTCTAAATTACCCTGGTCTTCCAATGGTGGTCAAGTAGGGATTTAAAAAAAAATAATTATGAACTCATGGATTCAAAGATATTTCGTATGTTTCAGTGGATTGTGATAATTACCCTTACCGAGTGTTTTTCCCCTGTAGGTAATCATTAAAACAATATATGGTGTATCCTTGGTGGCAGTTGGAAAACATGGCCAGAAATGTTTGGACATTCGTGCCATTGAGAGATGTGGTCTGTGTGTCCCCCCTTGGCTCTGGGTGACTTGTCAGTGCTTTAGCCCCCAGCAGAGTGTGGCACCAGTGATGCTCAGGACCTTCTGAGCTGGGTTGTACAAGGCCACAGAGCCTAATCCTGACTCACTCAAGACACTGCTGCTTGGACCCCTCACTGCCCCCAGACCCTTTGCTGGAGGGACCGCGTGTAGGCACAGCGACCCACAGTCCCCGCCATGCCCTGCCTTCCAGCTGGCCCCACCAAACACCAGTCATGTGAGTGAAGGCATCCTGGATCTTCCAGACCAGCTCACCTCCAAGCAGATGCCGGTGAGTAACCTGCATCAGCACCCTGGGGAAAAGCAAAATCCCCCCAGCCAGCCCTCCCTCAATTCCTGACCCACAAAGTAATAATAAAACGATTGTCTAAGCCTAACGTTGAGCTAGTCATGGTACAATGGATAATTGGAACGTTCTTCCTTTTGTCTCTTTGACATAAGCTGGCTCATACCTGCGTGTATCCTCCTCCTTTATTAGATCGATGGCAGCATACCCCAGTGACTGTCCTCCACCTCACAGGTTTTCACCAGACAATATGTTCTGGCCGTCAGTCCAGAGCGATTTCAAGCATAGTATTGGAGTTTCCTTTCTTCGCCAACCTGAAAACCTTTTTTCTATTAATAGATGAGCTAAGACCATATAATCAATACGTGTAGCCTCAGTTCTGTCGCATTGTTTTATGGTACATTTATACCTATGTAAGTTTTTAAAAGAAATTGTCTTTCAGTATGGTTTTCATCTTCTCCCTCTCTTTGGCTTGATCTTTTTGGTACTTAGGAAAATTTCCTATATCTGCTCCCATTGTTATCTTTATACTCATGTCTGTATGAAATACTTTCCGTCCCCTCTCTTTTTGTCTATTCTCTACTATGAGCAATATTGAAACTTGCTCTGATCCTCTTCCCGCAGCACCTGATTTGAATTAATATCCTTTTGCTTGCAGACATGAACCGCAAGGCATTCAGCAAGCCTGCTCCAGTTTTTATACACTCTTCTCGCGTTCCCTCAAATATATGGTGGCCATATTGCATCAGACTGTACTCTAGCTCTTATAACCATTAATTGGTCTTCACTGTACAAGGAACTACGTGGTCTATATGTTTACCACTCACCCACCTTTTGTTCGTGTTTCTCGGGTCATTTCTGTTGTCTGAGCTTCAGATTTTCTGAGAGCGTCCTCAAAAGGTGCGCACGGGAACAATATCCTTGGAGTCCTTGCTTGTTGATAAGTGTTTATAACCTTTATATTTGGAAATCTGTTTGGCTAGATCTACCATCCTTGGCTCATGCTGTACTCCCTTCCTTGTAAATAAGCCTTCTAGTTGCTCCTGGCAGGAAGTTTTGATGTAGGTAAGTCTGATGACAACCTGATTTTCCTGATAAGTGACTGTGTCTTTTTTTGCCTGCATTCTCAAGGGCATCTGTAGAATCTGTCTCTCTGTTGGATATTCTGGGTCAGTCTTTCCAGGTATCCAATGTTGTTTCAAGTTAGTTATTTCAGGAACGGATTTTGTTGTTGTTGTTTTGTTTTTTGTTTTTTGTTTTTATTTATAGTGTGTAGACTTTGTTTGAGTCTTTAGCTTTGGTGACCTTCTTCAGCGACCTCTATTATACATATGTTAGCTCTTTCCGCCTATTCTCTGCATAGGCACTTTTTCGCACCCATGTTTTTCTAATGCCCCTACAACTTATCTTCTCAATTCCTTAGGTGCATCTGGTGTGCTTATTTGCTCCCGTGTTCCTTTCAGGTTGGGCTTTATTCTTTAATGAGGACTCCCTTTTGTTTCTAATTCTAGCACATCATTCCTGAGGTCCTTTCATTTTGATTTGTTATTCTTTTGTGTCTTTTATTCCTTCGAAAATTTCTGTTGACTCATTTTTAAATATCAGGAAACGGTTTTTATGTTCTCGGGCATGTGTTCTATGGGCACACATTTCGGGGGTGCCCTCATTATCTGTGGTGACATTGCCTGTTATTCTCATTTTCACGAAGATAACTTTGTATGGGATTTAATGACAATCTTTTCTGATTCTCATTTTTATATGAAAGGAGTTTTCTGAACTTTCCAGAGGAGGGAGGGGTCAGTATCTGTTTTTAAGCTTCGTAGCTCTAGAGTTCACTCTTCTGTTGTGTCTACGGAATGTTAAAAAAAAAATAGGTCTTGAATCCCCTCTTCCCTTCTATGTAGACCTTCTCTTCCCTCTTTCTTTCTCTCTCTCTCTCTCTCTCACTCTCTCCCTTTCTCTTGTTTCTATGTTGTGGTTCCTATTGTCTCTGTTATGCCCAATTTGGTTTCTCCTTTCAGCAGATCATTCTCAGTGTGGTCCTGCCCTGAAAGGGACTTTTAGTTTATTAGTATTGAGAGTTCATAGGGCCTGCGCTGTTCCGGCCCCTTCAGATCTTTCTGGGGGTCACTTGAGCTCATCTGCACTTGGGAGTAGGTGGTTGAGTCCTCCCAGTTTCCGAGAGTCATATATCACTTCCAGACTGAAGCAGTGAAGACTGGCTGTGCTCTTCTGTCTCTGGCTCTGGACAAAGAGGAGCTCCACACAGAGGAAGACCACTGCATGTTGCCCACAGATCCTATGCTCTCAGCTGGACGCAATGGGCGGGGGAGGGACATAGGTGTTTTCCCTTAAGGAAGGGGTGCCTTCTCTGTGTAGGGAGGAGGGCGCAACAGGTATTTGGAGTATTAGGGCAGAAACAACGAGCACTCACTGAAGATCCACATTTCCAGTCCTCCTTGCCATTGGGGTGGGGTCATGTGACTTGTTCTGGCCACACACTACTAACAGATGTGACCTGGGTTAATTCCAAGTTGACACGGGTAAGAACTGCAACTCTCCTCCAACCATTGTCCCTTGTTGGTGCTAATTGTGGAAGTCATGTGTCAGGATGGTAGATCCACAAGATGGCAGCTGCCTGGATGCCGGATGCACCATGTGGAGGAGGGCCACCCTGCACAGTCCTCCAACTTATCTGAGACTGGGACAGGAGTATGAGACAAACCTCAGTTTGGTGACGATTGTGGGGGGCTGTTACCATAGCATATCTTAGTCTCTCCTGACCAACAGAGATGTGTACTATTTTTTTACGCAAAATTAAGACCCTACCAACCATGTCATTAACAACAAGCTCAGAGAAACTGTTAAACATCAGCTTTGTTGAGGTATAATTTATAGACAATAAAATATTTGTCTCTAAATATAATAGTTTATAGACAATAAAATCCGCCAATTTTTAAAAAATGTTTTATTTATTTATTCATGAAAGTCAGAGAGAGAGAGAGAGGCAGAGGCAGAGGGAGAAGCAGGCTCCCCGCCTAGCAGGGAGCCCGATGCGGGACTCGATCCCAGAACCCTGGGATCATGACCTGAGCCGAAGGCAGACGCTTAACCATCTGAGCCACCCAGGCGCCCCCAAATCCGCCAATTTTAAGTGACATTTTGACGAGTTTGATAAATAGAGACAACTGTGTAACCACCACCACAATGAAGATATAGGACACTTCCTTCATCCCCCCAATTTGCTCCTGCTGATTTGCAATTGACCTCCATTCTCACCCCCAGCTCCTGACAAACACTGATGTGTTTTCTGTCCCTGTAGTTTTGCCTGTCCCAGATTGCTGTATAGAGACCATCATACTGTAGCTCACCTTTGGTGTCTCGACTCATTCATTTAACGTAACGTCTCTGAGATTTAGCCAAAAGTCTGTTCCTCTTTATTGTCCACTAGTACTCCATTGTAGGGATACACCACGTTGTTCTACTCATCACCTGATGGACATTTGGGTTATTTCCAGTTTTTGACTATTGTAAATAAAACTCATGAACACATGTGCTCAAGTTTTTGTGGCCGTGTTTTCATCTCTCTTGGGTAAATGTCTAAGAGTATAATTTCTGGGTTGTATGGTAAACCCGTGTTGGATAGAAGACACCATCCACTGTGTTCCAACATGGGTGTCCCATTTCGCGTTCCAGTCATCTGTCTATCAGAGTATAACCTGCTTTTTATCTCAACTAGTGTTGCCCTGCCAAAGGGAGACATTTTTCTGAAACATGACTTCAGTGGTTTTGATAGTTCAAACCATTCCCTGTTGTTTGACATTTAGGTCACTTGCATTTTTCCCTGATTGTAGAAACGATTGTGAAGGACATCTCGTACATGAATTGTACTGCACATCTCTGCCTGTTCCCTCAGGTGAAATTCCTACCGTGGCTACTCCAGGTTAAAGGGTACACACTTTTCTTTAGACTTTGGGTACATACTGACATATATCGCCTTCTTACCAATTCATAATTAGGACAAGCGGTGTGGGATCATGTTCATCCCTTTCTTACGTCATTTGAAAGACCCCTTCGTATAATGGGAATATTGGTCTTTTCTGTGTCTTCTGTATTGTTAATAGTGTTCACAGTTTGTGTTTTGCCTTTTTAACTCTGCTCAGGGCGTTTTTATCCACAGATGTTTTAAACTGTTTTGTCATCCAACGTGTCAACTGATTTTTTTGTGATTTCTGTCTTTGGTGTTATGCTTGGAAAGGCCTTCCTCATCTGAAGATTATAAAAATAGTCACCTAGATTTCTTTATTTTTTAAAGAACTTCAGTCTTTACATTTAGGGCTTTGTGTATTTATTTTGTAACTGTGAAATTTATGAGGCATACCAAAGAGTCTATGACACATATGCAAGTTTAACAAATCATAACAATAAAAATGCTCACCCCAAAAATAATCGGGGAAAAAAGAAGTGACAGAAGAGATACAGCATTTGCCTTATTTGTTTCATTTATGCAGACGTTAAAACTGAAGAAAACTGAAGTATATGTTGTTTAAGCAAAATAGTAAAAGAAAGCACGGAAATGAACAGCATTCTAAAGGGCCATTTCTTCTACAAAGGAGGGAGGGGTAACACCAGGCAGGGACACTCAGGGCTTCAGAGGTCTCCGATGCTATTTCTTCAGATGGGTGGTGCTCCCACAGGTTCATCTTAGCGTTCTGGTTTAAACTGGACACAGTCATTTTATATACCCTTTTGCTTGTATATTCCACGTCACTTAAACATTTTTTAATTGTGGTACAATTTACCATAAAATTTAAGTATACAGTTCAGTAGTGTTATGTATCTTCACATTGTTGTGCAACCAATCTCCAGAACTCTTTTCACCCTGCAAAACTAAAACTCTGTCCCCATTGAACAACTCCCCACTCCCTCTTCCCCACAGACCCTGGCAACAACCATTCTACTTTCTTGTCTCTATGACTTTGACTACTCTAGGTGCTTTATATAAGTGGAATCATGTAATTTGTCTTTTTGTGACTGACTTACTTCATTTAGTATAATATGTCCTCAAGGTCCACCCATGTTGTAGCATGTGTCAGAAGTTGCTTCCTTTTTAAGGCTAAATAATATTCTATTGTACGAATACACCACATTTTATTTATCCATTCATCCGTCACTGCACTCCACATAGAATTGTATTTTATTTTATTTTAAGATTTTATGTATTTATTTGACAGAGGGAGACACAGCGAGAGAGGGAACACAAGCAGGGGGAGTGGGAGAGGGAGAAGCAGGTTTCCTGCCGAACAGGGAGCCCGATGCGGGGCTCAATCCCAGGACCCTGGGATCATGACCTGAGCCGAAGGCAGACGTTTAACAACTGAGCCACCCAGGCACCCCTCCACATAGAATTTTAAAGAAAAAAAATAAAAATGTCAACTCTTTGCTTCTGCATTTGACTCTATCATTTACTAGGAATGTATTTGAGTATATGGTGTGAGGTAGGGGTAGGCAGCCTACTCTGAATTTCTTGACTTCTGAGAACTGTGAGAAGTTCCCTCCTTCATTTTGCAAGCTTTAGTATAAACTTACACCATGTGGGGATGCTAAAATAAAGCATCTCTTCTTTTATTCACCAAGTATGAATTGAGTATCTGCTACTTGCCAGGAACTCTTGTAGGCCTGGGGGGGAGGAGCTCCATGAAGATGGATATAGACCCTGCTCTCACACCACCAGTGAATGGTGTCAAGAGCTGGCAGATGGGGACCAGTGTGGGATCAGAGGAGAGAGTGGTCACTTCCGGCTTTGGGAGGGATGGGAAGAGAGGCAGAGAGGGAACAACCTAGCCAGAGGCCTGAAAGCCTAATGCAGCTCTCATTTCCTACTTTGTCACTTAGAAAGCATTTAGTGGCAGGTGACAGAAATCCCAGTGGCAGTGGCTCAAATAGTCATATAAAGAAAATTTCAGCAGCATCTGTTTCCAGAGCTCGATGGAACCCCACCTCTTTGCATCCTTTAGTTTGGCCCCGGTCAGTGTGTTCACTTTAGTTCTCAGGCTTATTGCCCGACAGCTGCAAGATGGTCACCTCAGCTTCGGCCACCACATCTTTTCACGCCGGCCTGCGAAGGCTGGAGGCAAGGGGGTAGCGACCGTATAAAGAGTCTGCTCCTCCCAGGTCTCCCTCTTTGTACCAGGAGGCTCATCTTTCCTAGGCATCCCGTGCAGCTCACTGTTGGGAAGTCACGGAACAGCCACAGACCGACCACTGGAGGTGGGGAGCGGGATTCCGTGGCCGGTTTAGGCCAGTCAGGAGTCATCCTCTAGAGCCATGCTGTCCAAGATGGCACTCACTAGCCACGCCTGGCTACCCAACACTGGAACGGTATGCAGCTTGGGAGACCGAGGAACTGCATTTATATTAAATTCCATTTCAGTTCATTGAAATGTAAATGGCTACTGTAATATTAGGACAGCACAGCTCTAGAGTCTGGGCACTTTGCCGTTGGCTGAATAAGGTCTGGGCTGGTTTATTCAGGGAGAAGAGAGCATAATCGATGGTGTGTGTGTTGGGGGAGGCAGGGTAGAGGCGTGTGGAGGCCGGCGTGGCCTCACACACTTGCGATTCTTTCCTCAGGATGGGGGTGAGGGGGACGCTCACCTCATGAGGTGGTGGGAGCACTGGCTTCACCGCTTCCCAGACCTTCAGGCCCATCCTGCACGCTGTAGGAGGCACAGTTCCTCTCCAGTGTCTCTGAGGACCCTCTGGCTCTGGTTTCGTGCTTCTCCTAAATGTTCCAACCCCTCTTCGGGTCTCTCCAGCTGAGGCCCCGAAGAATATGGAGGAACTGACGGCGCCGCATAATTCCAGATGTCCTTTATCCTGCCCTGAATCTCAGTTACTAACTCGCCTTTGCCTGGTGGACCAGAGAGGACCAGAGAGGGCCAGCTGCAGATGTGTCTTCCACAGGAACGCAAACGTGAGCAGCCTTCGGGGAGGGGCGTCGCTAGGCCATTTCACAGGTAAGAAAGATGAGGTCGTCCCCATGGGCTGGAAGCGGGGATGTGTACCTGGTCCGGCTCACTCAGGGTACGCACGGTCTCCTCTGAGGCCTCTGGAGTCAGAGCCGGAGGCGGCCACAGGCCTCAGCCCATAACTCAGGGCAAAGTCAATGGCAACATCGTTCGTGTGTATTTTTGTTTGTTTTGTTTTGTAATTATATATATTTTTATTTTTTTATTCTTATGTTAATCCCCATACATTACAACATTAGTTTTAGATGTAGTGTTCCATGATTCATTGTTTGTGCACAACACCCAGTGCTCCATGCAGAATGGGCCCTCCTCAATACCCACCACCAGGCTAACCCATCCTCCCACCCCCCTCCCCTCTAGAACCCTCAGTTTGTTGTTCAGAGTCCATCATCTCTCATGGTTCGTCTGCCCCTCCGATTTCCCCCGCTTCATTCGTCCCCTCCCGCTACCTTCTTCTTCGTCTTTTTTTTTTTTCCTTAACATAGATTGCATTATTTGTTTCAGAGGTACAGATCTGAGATTCAACAGTCTTGCACAATTCACAGCGCTTACCAGAGCACCTACCCTCCCCAGTGTCTATCACCCAGTCACCCCCTCCCTCCCACCCCACCCCCCACTCCAGCAACCCTCAGTTTGTTTCCTACGATTGATTAAGAATTCCTCATATCAGTGAGGTCATATGATACATGTCTTTCTCTGTTTGACTTATTTCACTCAACATAATACCCTCCAGTTCCATCCACGTCGTTGCAAATGGCAAGATCTCATTCCTTCTGATGGCTGCATAATTTTCCATTGTAAGCTCGCCGGCCGTGAGCTGAGAGGACAGCGCTGCCCTGTGGCATCAGTGAGGATAAATGGGCGAGGTGGTGGGCCGAGGCATCTGGCTGACCAGGCCTTCCCAGGGAGGCGGGCGGGGCAATGACCCGCGACTTGATGATGGAAAATTGAGGCTCAGAAGGTGTGGACACGGCCAAGGTCCCACGGTATGTGTGTGGGAGTGTGTGTGTGCCGGACGGAGCTGCGAGTTGAGAACCCGCCAGACTCCAGTGCCCTCTTGTGTTGCTGGGGAGGCGCTCGGGCTGCGCCTCCGGTCCGTGGGGTGGCCTCCGACAAGTTACTTTACCTCTTGGTGCCTCAGTCTCCTGAGCTACGAAATGGTGCTGTCGCAGTACCTCCTGGGGTGGGGGTGAGCCTTGCCACCGTGCATGGCCGACTCTCAAACACAACTGTGACCGGAGCGTGGCCAGATCTGCCCTAAGTGCTCTCCACGCCGGCCGGCAATTCCTGAACGGCTGTCCAGGCACAGATCCCGGCCCAGGCGGTTTGGCGTCCCGGCCCGAGCTCCGACCTATGACCCTCCAGGCCAGGCTGTTTCTAGAGCAACTTTCCTGGCACGGCTGTTTCCCCTCGGGTCTGGCTCCTGGCTCCTGCACGGCGGCCACTCATTGCAGAGGCCCCAGGGCCCCCCCTCCCTCATCCTGTTGGCCTCGGCCTCTGCCCCAGGGAGACCTCCACTCCTGCTTGCAGTCTCAGGGGGTTCTTGGTTTGGCCGTCCAGTCACTGATTCATTTACTCCTTCAGCAATACCCTCCGGCCCCGCTGAGAGCAGACCGTGGACACGGCACCGAACAGAGCCTGCCCCCGTGGAGCGGACAGGCATCAGAGAGATGAATAGTCATCATGACGCAGCCGTCAAGAGGTGCTCGTGGAGAGGAAAGAGGGTCAGGGCGGCTCTCCAGCGTGCGGCCGAGCTGTGCGGGAGATCTCTCAGGGGAGGAGACAGAGGGTCCAAGTTTCAGGAATGACAAGGAGTCGGGCGCCGGCCTGCGGGGAGCTGAGGTCCAAGCAGGGTCTCCTGGAGGCCTGGAGAGAGACCAGGGTGGCTGAGTGAGCCAGCCGGGCCACCCTTGTTCCAGCTCAGCCGGTCCCAGCCCTGGGCGTGTGTGGGAATCATGGTCATGGGGAGAGGGCAAGGCTTATTGCAGTGCCCATTCCGGAGCCCCATGCTGGAGGAGTTGGATTGGCGGTCTGGGTGGGGCCCAAGCCCAGGAGTTCTTATGACTCCCACGCCCGTGGACCCCACACAGTGACTCAGACCCACGGCTGGCACTGAGAGGGCGGGAAGAGACACGGTGCCTCAGAAATGCATTTTCTGGGACCAGCGCAGTCAGAGACGGTGCCTGAGTTTGATTTCCCTGTGACTTACTTTAATTCGGGTCCCGGCAAATCCAGCCGTGGTCAAGGAGCACGGCTCCTGCCCTCCAGAGAGTCCCACGGTGGCAGGAGAGATGGTGCTGAACTGATCATTTTAGGTCAGTGCTGGGGACCCGGGGGTCACAGAGAGGTGGATCCTACCGGAAATCAGAGGCTGGCGAGCAGGGCCCGAAGAGAAAGGAACATACCTGGGCCTTGAGGATGGCGCACGAGTTGGCCTCGGTCTAGCAAGGGAAGAGGAAAGGGCGCGCCAGGTAGAGCAAGGGCAGTTGCAAACGTGTGCCACGTGCAGCAAATGCTGGACGTGCCCCCGGGCGCCAGGCACACGGGCCAATCACTACCAGGCAGTGGGAAGCGGAGCCGGGCCTGAGTCCTCCTCCTCTCCTCCCTTCTGCCACCATGCAGAGCACAGCTGACTTTCCAGAGAGAGGAGAAGCCCCCACCTTGTGGCCCCTGCGTCAATAGGGAGGACACCGACGCTGTCTCCTGTATTCTCTCTGGCGGGGGCGGGGTGCCCACTCAATCAATGAGCAGCTGCTGCTACATTGTCAGGAGCAATTAGAAGGCATGAGCTTTATCTTCCTCAATACATCTTTATTAATGATGCTTTTAATGATGCAACCCAAACTGCTGGCTGGAACGGTCGTGGCTGCCCGTCCCCCGGGCGCGCCTTCTCATTCCCTCCTGCCGCATCCCTTGATTTCCTCTCGATAGGAGAGTGGGCAGGGTGTCCCTTTGCAGATGGCGGTGAGGCCTGTGCCTGTGGCCCATGAAACCTTGATGTCCCCACGATAAAGCGGGGCTAAGGAGTATATCCATCAGGTGTTGCTCCATAACAAACATCCCCTAAACTCACAGGTACAAAACCACAGTAATTTTTTTTTTTTTGACTGCAGGGTAGACATTTTTATTTATTCACTTGAGTATTATTTGATTTTTTTTAAATAACTATTTTAAATGTAATTTCTGTTTTTCTTACATTTAGATTTTTTTTTATTCTTATGTTAATCCCCATACATTACATCATTAGTTTTAGATGAAGTGTTCCATGATTCATTGTTTGTGCATAACACCCAGTGCTCCATGCAGAATGGGCCCTCCTCAATACCCACCACCAGGCTAACCCATCCTCCCACCCCCCTCCCCTCCAGAACCCTGTTTGTTTTTCAGAGTCCATCGTCTCTCATAATTCGTCTACCCCTCCGATTTCCCCCACTTCATTCTTCCCCTCCCGCTACCTTCTTCTTCTTCTTTTTTTTTCTTAACATATATTGCATTATTTGTTTCAGAGGTACAGATCTGAGATTCAACAGTCTTGCACAATTCACAGCGCTTACCAGAGCACATACCCTCCCCAGTGTCTATCACCCAGTCACCCCCTCCCTCCCACCCCACCCCCCACTCCAGCAACCCTCAGTTTGTTTCCTATGATTAAGAATTCCTCATATCAGTGAGATCATAGGATAATGTCTTTCTCTGTTTGACTTATTTCACTCAACATAATACCCTCCAGTTCCATCCACGTCGTTGCACATGGCAAGATCTCATTCCTTTTGATGGCTGCATAATATTCCATTGTATATATGGACCACATCTTCTTTATCCATTCATCTGTCGATGGACATCTTGGCTCTTTCCACAGTTTGGCTATTGCAAAACCACAGTAATTTTATTTAGCTTATGAATCTGGGGATTGGCAATTTGGCTTGGGCTCAGCTGTGCTCAGCTGGGTTTGCTCACTGTGTGCGACCTCGGCTGGGACAGCTGGGCCTCCCTCTCCAAGAGGTTTTGGCTCCAGCGGGCCGTCCCAGGCTAGCGCTCGTGGCAGAAGGGTCTCCAGCCCAGCCTGGAAGCTGCAGGGCCTCCTGAGACCTCGGCTGAGACCAGGCCTGGCATCACCTCTGCCTCACCTTATTGCCACGGCGGACCCCATGATGCAATGGGACGGGAGATGGCTTCTACCTCTCGATGGAATTGGCTGCAAATAATCTGGAGCCATGTGTGCAAATTTACACTGGTGAATAGGGATCAGGCATTCGATCAATCAACATGTTCGGAGCTCCTACCTCTTATGCTGGGTGTTGCTGGGGCCACAGAAAGAAATGGGGCTCAGCTTCTGTTCTCCAGATGCCTCTAGTCTGATGGAGGAGGTATACTTAGTCAGATGGGGGGGCATCCAAGGTGCTAGAAGTCAGTGGAAGGTTTAGCCTAACACAGAAATGAGGTCATGCAGGTGGAACGTGGGGAATGAGCTCTGATGGCCTCCGGCAACTACGCGGTGCCCTGTGGCTGTGGGGGCGAGAGCTGCCATTGGTTTTGCATTTATTTACCAGGGATGCTCATGGTGACCTCTGGGTTGTTTGACGTTGGTTCCTGCTGAGGCCCGGAGCAGGTGAGGTCACGTGGGCTGAAGTTGGTCTAGGATTGGAATCTAAGAGTGTCTGGCTTTTTGCACTTGTGTCGGGCCAACTGGCTTTTTTTGACCCAGGGATTCAGTAGGTGAGACATTGCCGGGTAAGCCCGTGAGGCCGGGGTGGATACAGGTGTGGTGGGGGAGGCAGGCAGCCGGGGGCTTGGGCACAGAGGCTGGGCCAGACCCCTGTGGAGCCTCCAAAATAGAGGCAGGAAGAGAGTGTCCAGGGGGCACAGCCCAGGGCCCCTGCTCCCCGCCCCTGCTCGGCCCCATTTTGCCACTAAGCGCTGTGACTGTCTCATGACCCCCCTTTGCTTTCGGCTGTGTCTGTCACGTGTCGGGGGGCAAGGCGGGGATG